CAAGGTGTTGGAAATGGGGCCATGGGAAGGGAGAGGAGCAGTGAGCAAGGGCTGGGGCAGAGGGGGATAGCATGTGTGTGGGTTTGCTTGTAATTAGGAGATTTGACCTTCGAAAGAAGTTAATTAGTGATGGAACTTCTGACTGTATGATGCAGATTGTGAAGACGGGCTTTGTCAGCAGCTGAAATTAATTACAGGCTCAGGCACGGGGCGAAGGAGGGGGTGAAGGATGCGGGGAGGGGGAGGCATCACTGAAAGACAGATGATAAACCTGGCTGCAGGCTGTTGCCGTGGTGATGGGAGGCAGTCACTGTGGTTGACAGTGGTGACACATTGAAGGCAGCAGGTACTTCTAATTACCCCCTCCACCGACCCAAGCAGGCAGCAGCCCCTCCTGACTCAGGGCAGGAGATGCTCCGGTTTTCTCCTAGCACTTTCTTCCTCTCTGCTACAGATTGAATGTGCCTTCTCAGGGTCCCCGCCTGCTCCGAAACGAAAACTGTGGGGTGGCAGATTTTCCTAATATCACTTTAATAGCCCAGGAGCAGCCAGCGATTCAACAGCATCCTCAGGAAGCCTGGACAATGCTGGCAAACTTTCAGAGAGCTGGTATCCAAGAAGCATGGGAGGAGAAATTGAGTGCAGCTGGCCATAGCTTTTTGAGCAAGAAGATGAGGGCCTTGCTCATCTGGCCCAAACAGCAATGCTTTTGTGAGTGTGGCTGGCCAGGTCTTGTGCTTTGGGGTCTCACCAACTGCCCGAAGGCACCCTGCTACTGTCTGTATGGCATGGAGAGCCACTGCAAGGGGGAGTGAGAAGAGCAAAGGAGCACGGGAGCATCCCAATCACCCATGTGTTGCTGCTGCTGAAGCACGTGCACAGAAGTGTAGATGCATATGAGTTAATCCCCTGACTTCAAGCTCCTTTTTCAGAGTTCCCTGTGTTTGGCTGCAGTTGGAGAGTACTCCCTGCCTTCGGTTCTCTTGTGCCACATTTTCTGGATGTTTGCTGAAGAAAAAAACCTGGCTTGTTTTAAAACAACTTCTGCTTTTCATTTCTTATGTATTAATTTCATCTACTTCTGTTCTGAGTGCTGGCTCTGTTTGTACCTGTCTTGACTGCCTTATGCCCAGGGAGAGGGACTTTTGCAGCTGTCACTGGGTCAGCCCATACAGAAACTCTTTTGGCCCCCTGAAGAATGTTATTCAGCACTGATCCCTCCCTGAGGGCTTTGCTGGTACTGCCTTTCCAATAGTTGTCAAAGCACCTGCTGCATAATAGAGATGCTGAAAGTGCTAAGACTGCTCAGCCTTGAGAAGAGAAGGCTCAGGGGGGTCTTATCCATGTGTATAAATATCTGATGGGGGGAGTAAAGGAGACGGACTCTGTACAGTGGTGCCCCATGACAGGGCAAGAGGCAATAGGCACAGCCTGAAATATGGGCTATCCCATTTCAAATATAAGAAAACACTTTTTCACTATGTGTGTAGTCAAACACTGGAACAGGTTGCCTAGAGAGGTTCTGGTGCCTCCATCCTTGGAGATACTCAAAATCCCACTGGATGCAACCCTGAGCAATCTGCTGTAGCTGATACTACTTTGAGCAGGGGGCTTGGACAAGATGACCTCCAGAGACCTCTTCCAACCTCAAACATTCTGTGGTTCTGTAATTCTGTGAAAGTTGGTGCTTAACAGATTTTGAAAAATCTGGAAGAGAATTGCAGTCTTGCCAGAAAAGGCAGTGAGAGCTAATGGAAACCACTACAATTCCTTTCCTGGGGCTTTGGATCAGGTCATTAAAGGAATATGTAAGAGAGAAAGATGGAAAGTTGAAGCTGTGTTGTGTAGACCTCTAAGGGCAAACACTTTATTCTGCGCCCTTTTGGTGTATTCCTCTTAGAAAAGGCCTCTGGTTTTGAAGCTGACATTGAGGGTGGGCTCTGTGTGCATTACTTTGTATGACACTTGGGATTAACTTAGAGACAGTCATAACATATTCTTGAAATCACCTCATAGCATGATTGGCATAGTAGAGCTGGTGTCCTGCTCTTGTCTGACTTTTTTTTTGCAACTGAAGGTAGCTCACTGAAAACCAGGTGGGGGAGAAGAGAAAGAATTAATAATCTTCTAAATCAGATTGTGCGGGTTAGTCACAAATCACTGTCAGAGAATGAGCATGGAAGTGTTGCTCAGAACAAACCATAGATGTTGAGTGTCTTTCAAAAGTGAAGAGAGATATAGACCACCGTTCTGAATTCAGTTTTGCAAGGACTGAAAATGGGTGCACTGAGTAGCTTGTGTTTTAAGTGGATAATTTCTTAGTTCTGTTACTTTGAATTAAAAAAAAAAAAAGGACAAAAATGGATTTTGTCTGAAAAAGGAAACTGAACCGATGTGTTTGTGGGGTGTGTTAAAATACTCAAGAAGGACGGTTCTGCCAGAGGTTGGAGGTCCATACTTATTAGACCTAGATTACTGCTTTGTAATGTGAACACTGGAATGATATCACAGAAATGTGCCCACTTTTAGAGCTAAAATACTGTAAACAAGTTCTTGGATAAGTCTGTATCAGGTCTTAAGAATCCTTCAGGAGGAGAAGGGGGCTGGTAAAGAGAAGGCAGGTAGAGAGTGTGGAGAGCATAGAGAAGGTCACACATACACCATTTTTATCCTCTTCTACAACATATAAATGAAGTGGCACTTCATGAAATTAAAAGGCAACAAATTAAAAATAAGTAGGAGGAAACAATTTTTAATGTGAAGTATAATTAGCCAATGTAGCTCACGGCTGCCAACTATTATCGAAGCAGACATTTTAGTAAGATTATCAAAAAAAATTCAAATGAATAAGCAAAGCATCTGCAGGGACACTAGTATAGCTGAGAAAACAATTATAAGGGCTATCAATCCTCATGCTTTAGGGCATAAACAGATCACCAGCTGGGGTCAGAAACGCAATTTCCCCCTATGGTTACTGAATAAGTTAATTAGGCACATTGTAGAGTGTTATCCAGCATGGGTCACTGCTGGAAGCAGAATAACAGATTAGATGGACCATTGACCTGGTCCAATATGGCAACTCTTTATCTCCAAGTTCCTTTCAGAAGGGAAGAGGGAGGCTCCTAGCCTTGTGTTTCACCCTCTTCCCAGAAGGGCAGTAATCACAGAATCATAGAATGGTTTGGGTTGGAAGGGATTTACAGATTATCTAATTCCAACCGCTGCCATGGGCAGGGATACTTTCTGCCAGACCAGATTGCTCAGAGCCCCATCCACTCTGGACAAACTGTTCCAGTGTCTCATAAACCTCACAGTAAAGAATTATTTCCTTATATCTAATCTAAATCTACCCTCTTTCAGTTTAAAGCCATTACCCCTTGTCCTATCACTCCATGCCATTGTAAAAAGTCGCTCTCCATCCTCACTGTAGGCCACTTCAGGTACTGAAAGGCTGCTCTAAGGTGTCCCAGAGCCTTCTCTTCTCTAGGCTGAACAAACCCAACTCTTGGCCTTTCCTTAAAGGAGAGGTTCTCCAGCCCTCTGATCATTTTTGTGGCCTCTCCTCTGGACCCACTCCAGCAGGCCCATGTCTTTCCTGTGCTGAGGGCTCCAGAGCTGGATGTAGTGCTCCAGATGGAGTCTCACTAGAGCAGAGGGGCAGAATCACTTCCCTTGACCTGTTGGCCGTACTACTTTTGATGCAGCCCAGGATACAGTTGGCCTTCTGGGCTGCGAGCTCAAATTGCTGTGTGATGTTGGGTTTCTCATCAACCAGCACCCCCAAGTCTGGGGCTGCTCTCAATCCATTCTCCACTCAGCTTGTATTTGTGCTTGGGATTTCCCTGGCCCGTGTCCAGGACCCTGCACTTGGCCTTGTTGAACTTCATGAGGTTTGCACAGGCCCCCTTCTTGAGCTTGTCGAGATCCCTCTGAATAGCATCCCATCCCTCAGGTGTCAACTGCACCACACAGCTTGGTGTCATTGGCAAACTTGCTGAGGGTGCACTCAGTCCCACTGTCCATGTCGCTAACAAAGATATTAGACAGTACTGGCCCCAATACCGACCCCTGAGGAACGCCACTTGCCATTGGTCTTTGCTTGGACATCGAGTCGTTGATCGCAACTCTTTGAGTGTGACCATCCAGCCAATTCCTTATCCACCAAGTGGTCCATCTATCAAATCCGTTTCTCTCCAGTTTAGAGACAAGAATGTTGTGTGGGACAGTGTCAAATGCTTTGCTCACTAGGCTTACATAGAGATCCAGCTGTCCATTTTGATTTAGATCCCTAGATCTTGGAGATCTCTGCTACATTTAAGTATAGACCACCATGGAAAGTCTCTTCCGTGTATTTGGAAGATTCAGTAAACCAAAGAGGGAAGGGACACAGCAAATCAACAGGAGAGGAGTGAGCATGTGTTTAACTATGGCAATGATTTTACTTGTGTGAATACCTTAGGCCTTTGTGCTACCTGTACTTTCCCCTTTTCGAAAGGGTTTTGGCTTAATCAAGAAGAGGAGTAGTGAGGGACTGAGGGGGTGGAAACATAAGAATGTAATAAATCAGCCTACCAGCAGTTGTTGCTTCCCTTAATCTTCCTATTTTGTCATCCCAAGCCTAAAGCAAGCTTCTCTCAGCCATGACGTTTTTACAGAAGTTTTCCTTGACTCTTTTCCACCTGGTTTGAGTGTGTCAGCATGATGGTGATTTTGTTAAACTGTGTTACCCTGGGGATGTACCAGCCATGTGAGGATATGGACTGCCTTTCTGACAGGTGTAAAATCTTGCAGGTAAGCAGACTTCCTTCTTGTTGTGATGGTGCCTCAGTCCAAGTAACAAATTTTCACGGGTACTTTCCTTCAGTGTGTGGGCAACACCTTTCCAGACAGGTTGGCAAGACTGTCCCTGGCAGTAAGCTATCCTGTTGTAAAATGCCAAGGGGTTGCTCTGAGAAGGGGAACAGGGCGAGAGAGATAATGAATGAAGTCTGCTTGTGACCATGCAATACAGAACAGTTGCTAACATTCCTGATTCTGTGCATACACAGGGGTTTCCTGACATAGCCAGCTACAAGATCCATAGCTCAGGGGTAAACTTGGGAGAAACAACTAAGGTTACAGCATTCAGGCAGGAGACGGTAACAGCCTCACTGCATTTGCTACTCTGTTGACAAGCATGGCTATTACTGAGTCCACAGTAACTTGGCATTCAGGAGTCCAAAGGGAGAAGAAACAAAAGCTACGCCAAGAAGGGCCATGGGGGCATCCAGCCTACGAATGCACTAGCTGTGCTTGCTGCTTCCCCAAAGAGAAGATGACAGCAAAGTTTGTCATCTATAGTGTTGCTGAGGCTGCAATGTTCAGATATCTGAAGCCTCTGTCTATGATTGGTATGTGCTATCCAAGCTGTTCATGCAGCTGCATGGTGTCCTTAGCTGAGCCATTTGCAGTGGAATGATGAGGAATCCCTCCTGGAAGAACTTGGGAGGACTGCATTTCCCTGGCCAGGTTTGGACCTGCTGATGCTGAGCCAACACCACCTTTCAAGTCCGTGTAAGGAGTTGCTGAGTCTGCATCAACTGCTTCACCCATGGGGAAAAATACTATAAAAGCCCCTTGCTTACTTGAGCAGCAGGAAGCTGTGATGCCAGGGCTGCATGGAAGAAGCTTTTCCAGCCCTGCCCCCAACTCGTTTTCAGAACTACTGAAATTTGTATTTATCTCACAGTCTGCATTTTAAAGTTCAAGGCTGAGAATGCTTATCAAACATGCTCTTGGGTTTCTCTTTGGCAGGTATTTGATGATTTCATCTTCATCTTCTTTGCTATGGAAATGGTCTTAAAGATGGTGGCACTGGGGATCTTTGGCAAGAAGTGTTACCTTGGAGATACCTGGAACCGCCTGGATTTCTTCATTGTCATGGCTGGGTAGGTCGATATTTTCTGGGTTTATTTGTTCTGTGTTTGCTAGAGTCTTGCATGGAACAGAGATGATGTAACTGGGGGGAAATTTTCCACTCTGGTGCTGCTCCAGTACCACTCCTGAACTGGAATCAGATGTGCTGGGGTTAGCAGTCTATGGAAGAAACAGTAGATAAGGTAGCTTAGCTTCACAGCTGATGTGCAGCCACCTGTCTTGCACAACTTCAGCAGAGAGTGTTAATTTGTACCAGCTGAAGAGCTAGTGCAGAAACTTTTTTTTTTTCCTTTTAAAATGTCCGAGTGCAAGAGGTGTAACCTTTATCAGTACTAAGCTAGATTTTCTGTTTCCAGCAACAGCGTTTCAGAGGTAGGAATGTCATTTTTGTTACCCTGGGCTTTTTGTCTTTGTATTGTGCTGGCCTTACCCATGGTACTACTGGGACAAGTTGACATTTGGGTGTTTTTTTTACAACAAAGTTGCTATGGTGAAGCTCTGATTTCCCCTCTGCATGTATGAAGTGGAAAGCCTACAAGGATTTGCCTATTGAATCACAGCAAAATGTCCATCTCTGATACCAATGGGCATCTGCTTTTTGGGGATTTTTCGATTTTCAATTAGATTGCTGTGTAGTATAGTAAAAAAAAGAAGTCAGAAATAAATATGTAATATTGTTGTTCTCGCAGCAAAAAAGTGAACGTCTTTTCAGAGAGAAACCCCCACTTTCCTCTTCCTCCCAGCAAGGAAATACCCACATTTGCTGTCACCTGGATGTGCATGTATTACTGACTGAGCCAGCAGTGAGTTCAAGCTCACTTTGCAGAGTTTTCCCCTGTGGTGCAGAGCAGCACCATTTTTATATTTGCTTTTGACACAGTTATTCTACAGCGAGACTTGAAAGTCATTCCCTCTGGGGGGGTGTATAATTGTTTGCTTCTGGGGGGAGCAGAGATTTTCAAACTCAGTTCAGTTGTAAAAGTTTGAAGGCTGATTCTCGGCCAGCTTGTGCATGAAAGGAGGACAGGCAGATGAAAGCTGTAGCTTTTTCAAAATTAATACAACATGTGTGAGATGAGAAGAATTTTCTTGTGGCTGAGCCTGCTGTGATGAGCATCTGATTTAAAATAGTCTGGCATGGGGACTGCGAGTTTGTCAGGAAATGCTAAGGGAAAGCACCTGGTGCATGGTGGTGAGAAAAGCCAGATCATTGTATGTTCTAGTCTGTGCTGCTGGTGGCAAAATTGCTGGTGACTGGATGCAGGGAAAGTGAGACCCTATCACAGCAGCCTTTGAGGAGTGGAAAGGGAAGAACAGGCATGTTTGAAAGGGGGACCTTGGAGCCCACGGTGCTCGTCCGTGTGGGTGATGTGCTGCGGTATGCTGGGAGGAAGGCTCTGCTCCAGGTGGGCATGGGATAGCCGGCATACGGGGTAAAAGGCTTGGGAACTGGGAGTCTTGCTCTGCCTGGTGTGGCTGCAAGAATGGTATGTGAGTGGTGCTGTCTGGAGAGAGGAAGAAATCGGTGAGGTAAAGCAAAATGAAAGAGGGTGAGCTCAAGTTCTTACTCCATGCAGGAAACAAATGAAAACCATGCTACCTACATGAGAAGGGAGTAAACCCCATTTACACATTTCCATCTGTCAGAAATAAATATGTAATATTGTTGTTCTCGCAGCAAAAAAGTGAACGTCTTTTCAGAGAGAAACCCCCACTTTCCTCTTCCTCCCAGCAAGGAAATACCCACATTTGCTGTCACCTGGATGTGCATGTATTACTGACTGAGCCAGCAGTGAGTTCAAGCTCACTTTGCAGAGTTTTCCCCTGTGGTGCAGAGCAGCACCATTTTTATATTTGCTTTTGACACAGTTATTCTACAGCGAGACTTGAAAGTCATTCCCTCTGGGGGGGTGTATAATTGTTTGCTTCTGGGGGGAGCAGAGATTTTCAAACTCAGTTCAGTTGTAAAAGTTTGAAGGCTGATTCTCGGCCAGCTTGTGCATGAAAGGAGGACAGGCAGATGAAAGCTGTAGCTTTTTCAAAATTAATACAACATGTGTGAGATGAGAAGAATTTTCTTGTGGCTGAGCCTGCTGTGATGAGCATCTGATTTAAAATAGTCTGGCATGGGGACTGCGAGTTTGTCAGGAAATGCTAAGGGAAAGCACCTGGTGCATGGTGGTGAGAAAAGCCAGATCATTGTATGTTCTAGTCTGAGCTGCTGGTGGCAAAATTGCTGGTGACTGGATGCAGGGAAAGTGAGACCCTATCACAGCAGCCTTTGAGGAGTGGAAAGGGAAGAACAGGCATGTTTGAAAGGGGGACCTTGGAGCCCACGGTGCTCGTCCGTGTGGGTGATGTGCTGCGGTATGCTGGGAGGAAGGCTCTGCTCCAGGTGGGCATGGGATAGCCGGCATACGGGGTAAAAGGCTTGGGAACTGGGAGTCTTGCTCTGCCTGGTGTGGCTGCAAGAATGGTATGTGAGTGGTGCTGTCTGGAGAGAGGAAGAAATCGGTGAGGTAAAGCAAAATGAAAGAGGGTGAGCTCAAGTTCTTACTCCATGCAGGAAACAAATGAAAACCATGCTACCTACATGAGAAGGGAGTAAACCCCATTTACACATTTCCATCTGTCACTATTGCTGGCACAAATTTGAGGGGAGAGAGAATCTTTTGTGCATTTGATAGCAGTACTAGGAAAAAAGCTCATATCTGAACTCCTTTCAATGCCAAAGAGACTTAGAATCAACTCCTTAGATATAAAATAATCAGGGTGGAGGATTTTTCATTTTAGGTCCATAACTGAAAGAAATTTGTTTCCTGATTTCTATACAATTGTCCTTATGAGGTGTCAGGCTGAAATGATAGTAATCTCATTAGAATATCTGATCTCAAAAGACTTCTGCTAAAGAAAGATTTTTCCATTTAGTTATATAGAGCTAATGACTATATAATGTATTTCGAGTTATAAAAGCTTGTGGTTATTAATTCATTATTCTTTGAAATCCATTAAAATTGTCTGCACTGTTTAAATCAAATCCAAGGCTCAAACTTGCCCTTACATACAGACTATAGGCTTTTATTTAACCTCGAATTTAAGCCCCAAGCTTTATCCTGATTGGTCCCACACATGGATGCTTAGCTTCCGCTTACTTTGGGTCCAGATGCTGCCTTAGCCTTCTGACTAAGAAGACATCCTGCATTAGGTCTTGCATGTTTTCTCCATGCCAGTGAGTTAGGTCCTGATCAGACGCTAATCTGTATTTTCTAAGGGCCGCCTTCTTTTCATGGTCCTGGCCTCTCATTGGCTGCAAAGGAGGTCATAAATTTGACTCTGAAGAAAGTGTCCGTGATGTTGGGAAGTAATGCATTGCCTAGAAGACGTGCAACTTCTCTCAGTTGCAATAATATTGACCATACTTCCCATCCCCTTCTCTTCCCTTCTCTCTTTCCAAATAAACACCAACAAGGCAGCACAGGTTGGAAGAATAAACTGTAGCATGGAAAAGCAAAGTGCAGGCAAGGGACAGTTGTGTTGGGTGTTCCTGGGCGGCTGAGATACCTCCATCTGGCTAGCTGCATGACAGCATGTTTCATCAAGGAGCATAAAGGCTATTTGCTGTTATTGCCCCAGACGGTGTTTTGGTTACATAAACCATATATTGAGGCATTCATTTGTAGTTTTCTCCTCACTTCCTTGGAAAGCCAGAAGCTATAGTTTTAGTTAGCTGAATTCCCTCATGTGCCCCTGCCCTGCTTGCCCCTGCTCCCCACGCAACCCAGCAGCTCAAGGAGGAAGACTCCATTGTCACTAAAAATGTTCAGTTTCCATGGTGATAGGAGCTGACATCACCAGAACTTTCTCCCCTCTCGCATGGTCCCTCCCCCAACCACCTTCAATACATTTTTTTTCAGAAAGGATTAGAAAAAAAACCAAAACAGTCCTAAGTCGATGCTCTACTTCATTGTTCTCCTTGGAGCTCTTAAAACTGAGCGAGGTAATTTGGATAGAAGAATGCTGATGTCCTTGTGTGCACAAGCAACCAGGGCTGCAAATTCAGCTTGCCGATGCACCAGTTCCCAACTGCTTGCTGGCGACAGGAGGTTGCAGGTTCCCAGACGTTTCAAGCAGACTGTGCTTGTCACCAGCTGTCCTGGTGGGAGTCTCTCTTCTCCTGCGTTTGTGATTAGGTCTTGCCTGTCGTCATTTGTTTTCCACAGTGATGGGTGCATTTGGAGAGCTTCATCTGAGGCACCTTCAAAGGGTAGCTTCCTAGAGTTGAGAACCTACTAAGTTTCGAAAGTTGAGATAATGTGAACACTAATCACCTTGGAAACTCAGGCCAGTATATCTACATGTATGAATTCAGGAGAAAAGTCACTTATTTCTGGGCTAGCGCCTATCAGCTTTTAAAATCAAGCAGTTCTCTAACAAGAAAAGAGTAGGAATTTCTCCTGCTCACTCTACTCTGTGAAGCAGTTGTGTGCACGTGAGGTTGGAGATGATGCCGCTGTCCCTCTGGG